TGGTAGTGTTGTTCTCAGATAATACCATATTTTCTGTTTGTTCTGCATGATAATTTCGTTAGCTTGTAGTTATGTCCTCTCATGTTGATGGTGCATGACATCACAAAGAAATGGCCTGGGTTCACATTTTACAATTTTTCAAGACTTTGATTGATTCAATGAGATCTGCCCTATTGTGTCTTGTCTGAAGAATAGTCTTTATAGTCCTTGGGTCAGGTATCGAAATCCCCTTCCCCCCCCCCAACAATGGATTTTGTTTCAATTTCATACAAAGGTGTTACTTTACAGATTGATTAAGGGTCTGGGTTCCCAAATTAAAAATTAGAGTAATTAATGTTAATTAATGACCTTTGAAATAATTAGATATTTAAAAAGTCCATTGCGCTGTGCCCGTAAGTTTATATATACATTTTCTTAAAAATATAGAAAATAAGGGTGTCTACTGGTCTGGAAAACCTAGAAAGCCAGGGAAATTTACAAATAAACTTGGAATTTTATGTGAATTCAGTTCAACTTCAAAATACAGTACAGTATTGTTATTTTGACAGCATTCTTACCATAATTTAATGATGTATTGTATAATAGGTAAATAATTAAAGTTTTTGGATTTTTTTTTTGTAAATACAGTTGTACCCCACTTAACGTGGTCAATAAAACCCACAGGGTACCATGTTAAGTGAAAACCGCGTGAAGTGAACAACAGAACATATGGGATTAATTCCAATAGAAACTGGCCCATCCCCAAACTCCACTTTTTCCGACACAATACCTATGTTCTAGTAAAAATAACATCTTAATTTTATGATGGTACATGCACACAATTAATACTTAAGAGAAATAGAGAAATACAGTCGCCAAGTTAATGTCCATTCAAATAATGGACTCGACTCCCTCCCCCTCTTCTCACACTACACTCGCTGGCTCTTCCCTCTGAGAAATTTTGGGGGGAAAACCAGGTATAGTAATAAATAATTCCTCAAACTAAAGTTAGGATAATATAATTGACATTGCTGGATTCCTTGTAAGACCAGGAATATTTTGAATACAAATGTCATATATTTTTCACAAAAGATAACATATTTACTCAGAATAAACTTTACATCTAAAATTTGTATGTCTAATGCAAAATCTATGATGTTTATATTCAAAATGATCACCAAATTGTAAGAATTCCAGCAATGTAAATTATATTCTGGCCGGATAATTTGTCTGAATTTTATGAGCTAAAACAAATATCTTCAGTTAATAAAAAAAAATATATATTCTTCACGACACTATCTGTCAATCAAAGTACCCCACCTTCCCCCCCTCCTCTTCCAACCCCGCGGTCAGTCCCAACCCTCCCCCCAACCCCCCACCAATCCTCCCTTCAAGAGTTTTTAACATTTAGTATTAAATAATACCTCAGATTAAAGTTAGGATAATATAATTGACATTGCTGGATTCCTTGTAAGACCAGGAATATTTTGAATATAAATGTCATATATTTTGCACAAAAGATAACATATTTACTCGAGTAAACATTACATCTAAAATTTGTATGTCTAATGCAAAGTCTATGATGTTTATATTCAAAATTATCATCAAATTATAAGAATTCCAGCAATGTAAATTATATTCTGACCGGGTAATTTGTATGAATTTTATGAGCTAAAACAAATATCTTCAGTTAATAAAAAAAAAATATTCTTCACTGTAACAGATGGTCGGTCGGTCCCTCCCTCCCCCCCACCAACCGTCTCACCAGATGTGTGGGAAAACCAGAATATTTACCTTTTAGTAATAAATAATTCCTCAAACTAAAGTTAGGATAATATAATTGACATTGCTGGATTTCTTGAAAGCCCAGGAATATTTTGAATACAAATGTCATATATTTTGCACAAAAAATAACATATTTACTCAGAATAAACTTTATATCTAAAATTTGTATGTCTAATGCAAAATCTATGATGTTTATATTCAAAATGATCATCATATTGTAAGAATTCCAGCAATGTAAATTATATTCTGGCCGGGTAATTTGTATGAATTTTTATGAGCTAAAACAGGCAGTCAGGCAGGGTGGCGGGTGGGGGGTGGGGCAAATCTAAAAAGAGCTCTCGAGCTGGACACTCACCACGTATATGTGGAAAAAACCCGCGTTAAGTGAAAGTTCAGCTCTGGCGAGGCACCGCGTATATGGTAAAACGCGCTAAGTGAAACCGCGTTAGGCGGGGTAATACTGTAGTCCACTCCAATAACTGAATTGTTTGTGTGCCTATCATATTTCATGTTAGTGATCAAATAACCAAATATTCCAGTTTGTACCAACTAATTCTGCAGTGAGTATTGTTAGAGATGAATCGTTCTTTTTAATTAAGTGACTTTATTCAAGTGGATTATTCCACATATTAATCATGAGTCATATAGGTGGATCAGGAGTGTGATTTTTCTTTTTTTGCCTGATTTCCGGATTTTTTCAAACGTCCGGGTTGACCCACGTGAATTGCACAAATATGAGGAGAAAAGTGTGGAAGGGGGGGTGTGTCAAAGTCTTTGCCGATGTTCATCACTGGGCCTTGGATAGGTCGCGAAAGGGTCTTCAATTTCTTGATTAATATCATTTATATCAGGCATGGGCAACCTTTCCTCGGTCATGGGCCGCATTATGATATACGGTAGGTATTTTTCTGTTGGCCAACCCACCAAAATTTATATCCTATCTAACCCAAAAGTAATGTTAATACAGTGATATCCCCGTTAGCCGGAACAATTGGTGCAGAACACTTTCGGGGATAAGAAATTTCCGGCTAACCGGACGACTTTCTCAAACCTGGAAAAATCCCCCATCCCCGGAAATATTTTCTGTTTCTGGAAAAGACTTTCCGAGTGTCGAAACTATGCATCTTGCACAGACAAACACGAGCCCACATCCTCAGAATGTCTGTGTGCTGGGAGCTTTCCAGGAGTCTAAACTAAAAATCTATATGATATGGTCATGAATGAGGCTGTGTGTTACAGCAAAGACTGGTATTTTCCACTCCCTTGGAGCTTTATAATAATTCCAGAAATATATACAGGTACATTTATAACATAATCATAGCATTATTTTCCAGTAATACTACACTACAATACAACTACTGTACTCTACTTTTAGCAATATTACTTTGATACAACATGATAAAATGGACAAACAATGAAAATGAAACACACAAAAGTAGGTAATTATGTTCAGGAAGCTTCCCTGTGGCTGAGCATGTGGTGTGAGAAGCAAATAGTCACACTGGAATCTGATAACCCTCGCGTTCCAGAATGTCAACTGGAGCGCCCTAGATGAACGTTCCAGCACGTCAACCGGGGCGTAGGGGTTAATATTTTGACTCTTTTGGCCAAAAATTAGATTTTGTTGAAAATCGTAATAGAGGTACTCCTGAGCATGCTGATTCTGAATCTATGGTCTACGATTCGACTGCAGGGTAATTAGTGGCTGTAGTGATGCTTGGAATATTTTAATTACGAGTAATTTTTTTCAATCCTAATTACTCGCCAGCTGTGGGTTTCTGAGGTGCGAGTTGTGTTATTCTGTAACTACTTAATAAGTTAAACCCTGTGTGACCACTGCCCGTGACCCCACTTGGACTTACCCAACCTTTGTTAATTCCCAAGTGACCCACTGCCATATAGCAGCTAATCCACCAAACAGACTGTGCCGAACTTGCCCCTAAGCTCACACAAGTTAAAATGTTTATATTGTTGACTGTATATACTTATTTCACTGTTCCATTTTCATAGTTACTTATTCTTAGGTGATGAAACAGTAACAAATTGTGTGTGAAGATTATTCTATAAATAAATATTGCTTTACTTGCCGTAAACTGGTTGCATCTACCTGAACTGAGGGCCACATTAAATAGAACTTCTCAATCACTGCATGGGCCGCACAAACACATGGTCCAGGCCGCATGTGACCCATGGGCCACGGGTTACCCATGCCTGATTTATTTCATCTTTAGAGTAATATCATTTATGTCATCTTTAAATTTCCCAATAGCATTTAGATATTATTGAAAATCTCTAATTTTGTTTTTAATATAATAAATACCAAATTAATGTACTGTACCTGGAATTTTTCAAACTTACACCTGGAAAAGCCAGGGAATTTTGTTTTGTCTGCCCAGTAGACACCCTGATTAGGCTGATCGGCCTGTGGTTTTCAGGCTACACTTTTTCTACCCTCCTTGTATACTGGGGTGACTGGTTTATATCCAGTTCCTGGGCACTTTTCCTTGATGCAGAGATTTCCTAAATAGAAGTCTTTGTGAAGTACAAATGTTTTTGGCGCCTCCTTTATCTCCTTAGTCTGTGCTCCATCCACTTCAGGGACTTTGAACTCTTTTTAGCCAGCTATTTTCTTTATAATGGTACTGTATTATCTGTAATTCCTATCTCTCTCACTTCAATTTTTGCCCCCGATATGCATTTTCCTAGGTTCTGGCATGTTATCCATCATCTCGTGTGAAAACTGATGCATAGCAAACATTTAGGGTATCTGCTGTCTGTCATTCATCCCCCAGGGCCACATTGTTTTTGCCCTTTACATGGTCAATAGTATCCTTGGTTTTCAATTTATTCCTGGCATACGCATAAAAAGATTTGGGATCTTTCTTAATATTTTGGTCTAATTACATCACAAAGTGCCATTTAGCTTATCTAATTTCCTGATTGGCCACATTTAAGGCTCTTTTGTATACAGCACTACATAATCCACATGCTGTCTTGTGGTCCAGTATTTTTTCCACAGCTGGTATTTTCCTTTGCAGGCTTTTCTGGATTCATCAGTCAAATTGTCTATCTGAGTTTTGTTTTAAAGGTATAATATAAAAACTGCTCATGATGTCTACATAAATATTTGTACATAAATTACTGTATTTTAATTTTATACTATTTTTGTGAAGAAGGGACGTAGATTAGTAAGCCGTATTCTTTCTTCACATGTAATTTTTAAAGTTTCTTTTCAGTCGGTTGATGGCTTTGAAGCGAATGGGCATTGTAGAGGACTACGAGAAAATTCGAACACTTACTGTGGCAGTGGTGGGCGTGGGTGGTGTTGGCAGTGTGACAGCTGAGATGCTCACGAGGTGTGGCATTGGAAAGGTAAATTATACTCATGTCTCTCATTATCTTGTACTTGTCTTCTGTTAAAGTTACTTGTAGTTTTATCTGATGCAAAATGCGGTAAGACCTGGTATTTATTAATAAGAAACACGAAAGTACTAGAATGATATTTGGTTTTATTGATATTTTTCCTGGTAAAGACCCTATTACTTATTGGTACAGTAAGTTGAATTGTATTAGAGTTAGAGGTACTATATACATTACTATATACAGTGGTATAGTAAAACATCATACTCAGTTAGCAAAAAAGTACAAATCACCTTAGAAAGACAGGAATTGGCCAAAATTTGATACGTATTACATTTGAAGAATCATCTGTTTTACCATGTGCCACTGTTAGATCACTACCATGACAGATGTGGTAGTAAAGTACTGTATGACTCTTACCTTCTGCTTCAGAATGAGTACAGTAGTATCAGGTATTAATGTGTAGAAATATAGCAGGGAAAATTAAAAATGGCTTTGTAGGCTTATTGAGAGAAGCAGAAATCTGTCAAGAATAGAATAATATATGTTTTAGTATTTAATTCTGTAGATACTTCAAATTATTATCTCTACTCCTTTTTTTCTTTATACTGTACTTTTAAATATTACATCATATATTCAATCTATGTTTTATTTCTTTGTTAAAATGCATTACTGTATAAAAAATTTATCTTTTTATAGAGAGTACTAAATTATACAGTACAGTATATATATTTTTGGGGGATACAATAATGCTCTACTTTTGTTTTTGGTTTGCTTTGTTACTGTATTATTCTTACAGTATAGTATTGATGGATGTGGTTGATTGTGTTTCAGCTCTTACTCTTTGACTATGATAAAGTGGAGTTGGCGAACATGAACCGCCTGTTTTTCCAACCGCACCAGGCTGGATTGAGCAAGGTGGAAGCAGCAGCTAATACCCTTCAGTTTATTAATCCTGATGTGACTTTTGAATCTCACAACTATAATATTACTACTGTTGAAAACTTCGGTCATTTCATGGAGAGAATAAAGTAAGTCAGGTTTAAGAATTTTTAGTATTTAAGAATTGTTTTAATCTTTCTAAGAGGATTGTTATCAAGTAGGAAAGTAATATATCTTATTCACTTGGAAGTCCTGTATTCAAGGGTTTCTTTTTCCCCAGTGATGGCTCTTCTCTTTGGCTACACTTTCACTTGCCATGTAGTGGTTTGTCATACTTTCTCAATATCCTTGTTGACTTCATTTAATTTTATTTTCCATATCTCTTTTAGTATTCTCTTTTACTTGGTCTTACCTATAACTAATGACGGTAATGATGATGGCAGCCCAGTGTTAACATTAAGTTTTTACGCAGGCTTGGCCAATTTAGATCAGTGGTTTAAGCCATGGTTAAACAAACAAAAAATCATTTATTTAAGAAAATCTTAATATGCCAAATTTGTTTTTAGTTTTAATAAGTTTTGTGTTGGGTTATGTTACTTACAAATGGTTTTAAGGATTCATTGATTTGGAAAAGGCATATGATAGGGTGAACAGAAAAGCATTATGGGAGGTATTACAAGTGTATGGGATGGGAGGAAGGCTATTAAATGCAGTAAAAGCATTCTTTAAGAACAGCAGGGCAACAGTATGAGTAAATGGGAAAGAAAATGAAACATTTGAAATAAATGTGGGTGTTAGACAGGGATGTGGTGTGTCCCTGTGGTTGTTTATGACTGTGAACTGTTATACACTGGTGAAAATGGTGATAATAAGGGCTGTACACATCTCAAATCAGGACTATAAAGAAGCCAGGTTGTCACTATTCATTATAACTGGTGACTGTTTCTGTTTATGGCTGGGCACCGAGCCTCTGATTCTAATGTGGTCAGATCATGTTTTACACGGGTAAAACTTAAATGAATTCTTTAAAACTTTCAACTGTAAAAATGTATATAAATTTTTTTTCTTCATTCATTAAGATGAACTTAAACATAGTTTTTTGCCAGATCAAAGCTTGTGTTTTTCAAATTTGGCCTTTGTAGAGTGATTTTCTTAGATGGAAAAGTGTGTAAATGTTTGCTAAGTGATCCTTAATGTAATGTTTATGATTAATAGCAAATTAAAAAGTTACAAAAAGGGCTACATATTCTTAAAACTTGTTAAAAGCAACATAATAGCATTAATTTTTTTTTTTAAACCAATGGTTTTCCCAACTCTGTTTTTAAGATGAGCTCAGTCTCACAAAGTCCTTCTGCTGAAGTAATCTTCATTCTTTTTGCACATTAAATACTCATTGGAAACAAATGATGAGTGCTTCATAAACAAGATAACCAAAACACTAAGTAGGTAGTAGGCAGCTTTCAAACAGGGAGGTACTACCGCCTGGGAAGATATTGGAAGCATAATGTGTTGTCTAATGGTAGACCCTGCTGCCATATGGCATCACAAATATTGTGACCAAGTCCCAGGTTGCTGATCTGTCTTTCTGCCTCATTTACACACAATTGCAGGATCTCAATTGTTTCTCTTACTATTGACAAGACAACATACTGTACATATAGCGTTTCTAACTATTGATTATTATTATTTTTTCTTTATTATCATTATTACAGTGTTGTTATTATTATTATTGTTGTTATTATTATTTTATTTTACTTTTTATTATAAATTTTATTTGCTATGAATTACTATTATTATTGTTAAATTTTCGCCCCCCAGGCCCCGATGTGGGTCAGTGACCTGTGCCCAGGTAGGCTAATCCCCTTTAAAAAAAAGAAGAAAAAAAGTAGAGTACTTCTCAAATGATTCAGTGGTTGTGTTAATGTTTAACAAACAGGTTTGGAGAGGATTTTTTTTTTTTTCACACAGGAGTGGCAGTTTAACAGGAGGTCCAGTGGATCTTGTCCTAAGCTGTGTGGACAACTATGAAGCAAGGATGGCAATTAATCGTGCCTGCAATGAGCTAGGACAAAAATGGTTTGAATCTGGAGTATCAGAGAATGCTGTCTCTGGACATATCCAGTTTCTTATTCCAGGAGAAACGGCTTGTTTTGATGTAAGTCTTGCCATAAACTGACAGAGCTATTTTACAATTCTTTGCATTTTCTCAAAAAAAGCATTTTCATTATGTGAAAGGGAAAGCTGGCCAGCTTCATCATCAATGTCCTGCTCATTATTGTATTTCTCAAATCTGTTTCTTTCATTGCATTCTATGGAAATACAGTACAGCATGCCCTGACAATTCACGAACTTCGATTATTCGCGGATGACACCCTGGATATACCCAAGAATGTCTAAGGGTAGTTTTAAAGTTGCTGGCATTTTTGTGGCTGGGACAGGAAGCCATTTGTTCTAGAGACTTTAATTTCTTTTACATGCATTGTATATATGTGTGTGTGTAGACACACACACAAAACACATACATACACAAATAATAATGGGAAAATCCTCTCACAAATAATCAGAAACAAGACAACATAATTTTTAAAAAAATGTGAGAGTCTAACCTTAAGTCAAATCCGTGATTTATTATTAAGGTTAACTTTAATAAAGCACGGAGTTGGCTTGAGGGTAGACTCACATTTTTTCTAAATTTATTTGTATGTGTTTTGTGTGTGTCTACACACACACACACACACACACACACACACACATATATAACATATATATACAATACAGGTAAAAGAAATAATTGTCCTAAGGGCAAACACATAAAGGGAATATACATTTCTTTGTACATGAGTAAAAATACCCCGGTCAGTCAATGTTATTTGCGTATTTAGCTATTCACGGCCATTTCGAGAACCTATCCCCCACAAATTTTAAGAGCATGCTGTACTGAAGACCTTGTCAAAAACAGTTTTTTGGGGTTCAATCCAGAATGCGACATCTAGCTTTGTACTGTACCTGCATTAACTCGCCAGGCCAACATATAGGCAACTAAAACATCTAATAATTACTAAAATATGTTATATTAGGAGGACACGTTGCTACCTGGCATTTAATTGCAATTCTCTAAACAACCCCTACCGCACCCGCCAGCACACGCATCACTATCGTCATCTTCTTGCCTGACGAATCAGCTGTAAACATGCACAAAGAAGGCTCCGCTAATTTGTGTTGTAATAGCTGAAAATATTAAGTGCCACAAGGATTTTACTTTTGGCATTTATACATCTTAGCACAGTGAGCAAATTGAGTGACTTTAGTTTTGGTTATGTCTCAAATTTTGTGTTTGGGGTAGTTTTTATATGGTCTGGTCAATCATGGCGACCGTGGCTCGTCTTCTATCTGGGAAGACAGTCGAAGTTTGGTGACTAATAATTCTCTGTTTTCAAGTCACTTAGTGAATGACATTTGTTTTTAGCCATTCCGGGCTCATCTTCACGAAGGAAGCAAGCCACTAATAATGCTTCAAGTGGTAGTGCTTATTTATTGCTATGTTCTCTCCCCTCCCTTTTCCCTGCTTTGTTTGAGGAACAAGCATTTGTTAACTACAGTATAGATCAACTGTGGAGCAAATTATTCATATTATGGTTCCCAAGAATTCCAAGACCTTTCAGGAATTTCAAAGAGGAAGGTCTAACAAGGGAACAGGAGCAGCTGCTAGGTTCAGTCAGCAACCTAGAGGAAACAATTTGAGACGTAATAGGGGTGGCCATTTGTTCAAAGGTGGAAAGAGATCTTATTCCACCACATCAACGACCACTCCCTCCCATTGAAGCCAGACAGTTGGGTCATCTGGGGGGTTGGGAAAACAGGTGGGCTTCTTCCATATGAGCTTACAAGACAATCAAAGGGGGCCACACCTGTACTTGGTTGAGGCGCCCTCCACTAGTGGTACCAAAAAGGGGTCAGAAACCAACCCCCTTACTCACAGAATATGTATTTCAACTGTAAAACAGAGATGTGATAGAACTGTTGCAGTCAGAGAAGTGTTTCATGTCCCGCCTGTTCCCAGTCCCCAAGAAAGACAGCGACAAGTTGAGGTGGATTTTAGATCAGTCCGTACTGAACAAGTTCATTACCAAAAGAAGTTTCAAGATGCTCACTTACGATTATCTGAGGCATCTACTTCCGCCCAGTGCTTGGATCTCAAAGGTGGATCTCGAAGATACCTATTATCATGTGCCTATTGCTCCCAGATACAGAAAGTTTCTATTGTTCGCAGTGGAGGATATCAGTTATCAATTCACAGTGATGCCATTTGGCCTGACAATTGCGCCAAAAGTGTTTACAAAACTGGCAAACATCCCCAGGGAGATCCTCGCGGTGGAGGGCATAAGAACTTTTGTTTATCTAGACGATTGGCTGATAGTGGGACACTCTTTTGAAGACTGTCAAAGGGCAACCCAACGTGCACTAGTAGTATTTCAGAACCTAGTATTACAGATAAACCAGGTCAAATCAAATCTCCTACCATGTCAGAAACTGGTTTGGTTAGGTCTCCATTGGGACACCAATCAGCAGTCAGTCAGTCTTCCAGAATCAAAGGTAACAGATGTGATAAACCAAGTAGAGGCCTTTTGTGTAAAGCAAGAGGGGTCTTGGCACGATTGGGAAAAATTATTGGGTCTGTTGAATTTTGTCACCATAGTAGTTCCATTGGGCACGTTAAGGAAAAAGCAACTAACTCATCTGGGGTCGAAGTTGATTCACAGAAAGAGAAATCTTGTTTCTTCTCTCCCAATTCAGATCAAGAATCATCTGTCATGGTGGACAAGGTTGGACAATCTAGTCAGTTCATCACCCTGGGTTCCCCCTCAAACAGACTTGGTCGTTTGTACGGACGCGTCCGAGATAGGATAGGGTTACCATTCATCAAAAGGAGAATTCAGTCAAGGGAAGTGGAGTAACTCCCTTTGGGACCAACACATAAACATCAAAGAATTAGCAGTAGTCCTATTCTTTTTGTTGGCAAATCCAAACTTCGAAAACTTGACGATTCTGTTTGCCATGGACAACAGAGCGGCAGTGTTTTGTCTCAATCATCAAGGCTCAACCAGATCTTGGACCCTTCTCACACTGTCAGAAATTTTTTTTCAAGGTTTGTGTAACACAAAAACTATACCTCAAAGCAACTCACATACCGGGAGTACAAAACAATTGGGCAGATGCGTTGTCCCGTCTCAGGCCAGTGTCAACGAAAACAGAATTGTCCCGTATGCCACTTAAGTTCAAGAGTCTAGCGAGGAGGTTTGGGACTCCATAAATAGATCTCTTTGCCTCACTAAACAATCACAGGATGCCAATTTATGCTTCTCTGGAACGATCGAATCTTCTAGGAAATACTCCACATGTAGATTGAAACCGTTGGAATTCAATCTATGTTCCCACCTGTGAAAATGTTGTCCGAAGTGGTTCATAAACTCAGATCCTTCCAGGGAAAGGTCCTCTTAATTGCACCATATTGGATCCTACAACCGTGGTGTCTGGATCTGTTGGAATGGTGCCCACATCCACCACAATTGCAACAGGATGTCTAGACCAGGTACTGCACCCTCAGTTCGAGACATCCTTGGCACTTCACGCCTGGAGTTTCTCAAAAGATGTTTAAATAGATTGTTGGGTAGTTCCATTATAGTTATCCAAGTGATAGCAGGTCATTGGCCCCAAACTTCTATGCAATGTGAGAAAGCTTGGAGCCTTTTTCAACAATTTATTAAGTTAACAGCGCCAATCACATTGTCGGAGACAATGGTGTTAAAATTTTTAGATTTTCTGTTCAGAGTTAAAGGCTTTCAAGGTTCTACAATTGGCATGTTGTAAATCAGCATTGGTTGACCCTCCGGCATGGGGTTTTAATTTTACTTTGAACCCCTGAATTTATTAAATGCTCAGATCATCCTTTTTCATTCCGATACTCCCTTGGCCTAAGAGAATCCCACCTTGGTCTCTAGATAAAGTTACTAAATTTCTTATGGGGCCTAATTACAATATAAATCTGAACCAGGATAGATTGCTCCAGAAGGCAGCCTTCCTTCTAGCAATAGCAACAGGTATGAGAATCGGTGAGCTGGTTTCAATTTCCAATAATCCATCATTATTGGTATTTTCTGAGGAAGATGTCACTCCTTTCCCTCCGGAGATTCTAAGAAAAAAGTGAAAGGCTAATGGGTGAGACAAGGGTTCCCCATATGTTGTGCCGTTAAGAACCTTCAAGAATGGTTAACCAGATTCCCTAATCGAGGCCCCTATGTATTCTCATCACAGGATGATGATAAATTGTCTCCTAGTCAAATGACAAAATATTTATGTCAGTTGGTGAGTCAAGTAGACCCTGGCAAGAAATTTTTGGCACATGACACAAGGAAATATGCAGGGTCTGTGGCCTTTCTGAGCATATGAACCTCAGTCAGATCAAAGAAGTGGGCTTTTAGAAATCTTCAAAAACCTTTCAAGACAGCTATCTTCATCTATCTCTGAAAGATGCTTCACATATGGTGGTACATACTGGGGTCCCCTCCCCCACCTAGTCCATCTCCACATCCAGGACCTTCTTCTTCCTCATCAGAATAAAGTGAGTTTCTTAATTGGGATATGTAAATTAAAATTTTGCCTTCCGGTAAATGTTTCTTATGGAGGACAATATTCCAAACAAGTTTATAATTATTATCTGGACCTAAGCTAGTGGAGCCTTATATGCAATATCACCTCCCTCTTCACCTCCTGCTCAGATAATCAAAGCTAGATGTTGCATTCTGGATTGAACAAAATTTTATTTATTTTTTCTAAAAAACAGTTTTTGTGATAAAGTCCAGAATGCGATGTCGACATCCCACCCATCTCCACCCTTTGAGAGTTGACATTTGTTTACTGCTCACTCTGGGGTAAGAGATGACAGTAGTGATGTGTGTGCTGGAGGTTGCGGGAAGGAGTTTTGAGAATTACAATTAAATGCCAGGTAGCAATGCGTCCTCCTAATATTACACATTTTAGTAATTATTAGATGTTTTAGTTGCCTGTATGTTGGCCTGGCGAGTTAATGCAAGGCTTATACAGTACATATGCAGGTACAAAGCTAGACGTCGCATTCTGGACTTTATCACAAAAACTGGTTTTTAGAAGAAAAAAAATATTTTGCTAAAAATCTCTGTAACTCGTTTTCAAAAGCAAAAATATATTGGCATTGAATCTTGACAATTTTATTTTTTTCCAGTGTGCACCTCCTCTGGTTGTTGCCAGCAATATTAATGAGAGCACCCTGAAGCGTGATGGTGTATGTGCTGCCTCCTTGCCCACCACCATGGGTGTTGTTGCTGGGTTACTAGTCCAGAACACTCTCAAGTGAGTTATCCAGTTTTACGCACCAAATTGTATTCTCACTACAAATTCAAAATTTTAAACTGGTAAATACTTAGTGGTAACCCACCTGATATGCACATTAATTTATTCCTTCACTGTGTTGTGAATTAGGTACGGTATTTAGAAATTTTAATGGAAAGGTTTTGTTTTTGAAAAAGGCTATGCAAATATTACAAATGTATACAAGTGCAGTGTTATCTCCGTTAGCCGGAACAATTGGTGCAGAGCACTTCTGGGGATGAGAGATTTCCGGCTAACCAGACGACTTTCTCAAACCCGGGAAAATTCCTTATCCCCGGAATCTTTTCCGGTTACTGGGAAAAGTTTCCGAGTGTCTAAAGTAAATATCTTGTATACACAGACACTAGCCCACTTCTCCAGAATGTTTCTGGGTGCTGGGGATGTTTTCCTCGAGTCTAAACTACTGGAGTCCGTAAATGCAATTCTAATTAAGTTAGAAACTCCATTTCTTTACTATAATAATCCAGAAGAGTTTATCTAAAAGTTTGGTAAAATAAATATATTTGAAAATTAAAAATATTTATGATATGGGCATGAATGAAGTTGTGTTACAGCAAAGACTGGTATTTTCCACTCGCATGGAGCTGTGGGGGATTAGTGGGTCTCGTGTACCTGACCTGACACAATGTCAGGTCGAGGAAGGGTGGGGGATTAGTGGTTGCATATTCCTGACCTGATGGAATGTCGGGTCACCCTTTCTTGGCCGGGGGATCAGTGGGTCTCATGACCTGAAGATGTCTTGAATAAACATGAAGCGTAAAGTATTTTTAGAGAGATTGTGACAAGTATAAGTATAAATGAGCAAAGTTGTATCCCTTCAACATTACATTACATAACATTTTAAAATATGGCGTGAGAAAGCAGAAAGGTGTGGGTGATTAGAGAGATGGAGTGGAAAAGAGTGGTAACATGACTCAGTGTTGCCAAGCGATAAGCTCCTCAACAGCTAATATTTAACTCCAGTCACACACATGCAAATTTGTCACACAATAAGACCCTCACTCCTTATGTCTGCTGTCTTAATTCCCTTGCAAAAAGAGAGAGAGAGAGATGAATTTGATACCATAATGATCCTAAATAAATTCTCTACAAAACATTTCCAATAAGATGTCCTTAAACGTAATATTTCTATATGATATAATGATGGGAATTCCGTTCTCTTAATAAAAAAAAGTAAGAAATGTTGATACCGGAGTCAGTAAAATCAGTTCTAATTTCATTAGACACACAATTTTTGTATAAAAATAATCCTGTATACAGTGAGTTCTGCTATAACGCGTGTTTTGATAACGCGAATTTGCTCTAACGCGATTTATGAATTAGGAACGATATTTGTATAACGCGAACGCTTGTTTGCTATAACGCGATTTTTGCTTACTATTTCTCCAATTTTGTGGTACAGTGGGGTATGCTATAACGAATCTAATTGGTTCTAGAACCTTGTTCGTTATAGCATTCGTTCGTTATAGGATTAATCCGTTCCAGGCCCCCAAATACAACCACTTAACACTGAAAAATATAATATAAAATTGTAAAAATTGTAAAAAAGTGCATAAATATGCATCTAAACCCCTGAAATAAAGAATATCATTAATATTTGTAATAAAAAAACAATAAATTAGAAGAAAAAAAATTAAATAATGTTCGTTGTAGGAGTTTCGTTCGTTATAGCATTCTCAATTTTATAGGTAAAACCGTTCGTTATAGGAATATTCGTAGTAGGATCCGTTCGTTATAGCATACCCCACTGTATTAACTGTGAATATAGTAAAGAAGAATATCAACAAGAAGCGTTCTGGTGATAGAATTCCCGGTGATGATCGTAAAAGAAAGGATATAACACTTGAAGAGAAGCTCGATTTTATCAACCTCAAAATCACCCTTCTCCCCCATCAAGTAAAGTGTTACATTTACTGTATGATTTCATTATTAGATATGAATGTAACATTTATTTAGACTGTGCTATCCTTTGTGTTAGGCTAACTACTAAATTTTTTCGATTTCGAGTAATCTGCACCTAACCCTATTTTCTCCATAAGCCCTGTTATTTCTATTACGCGATTTTCTATAACACGATATTTTACAAGAACACAATTATCGCGTTATAGCAGAACTACCTGTACTTTATCTAAAAGTTTAGTTAAATAAATATACAGTAATCCCTTGGTTATCACGCCTAATTGGGACCGTGCCGAGTTCGTGATAACGAAAAACGCGATAACGAAAGTACAGAACCTATTGTAAGGGTGCCTGTTTTCCAACACCTACACCACCCTTATCTTACTTACTTCTCTTATCTTAGTTCTTACTCTTACTCAGTTCTTTTGGTAGCATGGTCATTCTTTTGGTAGCATGGGCATTCTTTTGGTAGCATGGGCATTCTTTTGGTAGCATGGACATTCTTTTGGTAGCATGGACATTCTTTTGGTAGCATGGACATTCTTTTGGTAGCATGGACATTCTTTTGGTAGCATGGACATTCTTTTGGTAGCATGGGCATTCTTTTGGTAGCATGGGCATTCTTTTGGTAGCATGGGCAATTCTTTTGGTAGCATGGGCATTCTTTTGGTAGCATGGGCATTCTTTTGGTAGCATGGACATTCTTTTGGTAGCATGGTCGAGGGTCTAGGCACATGGGTATGGTAATTCTGGTATCAAGTCACTTGGACAGAAATAAAGGTAAAATACTGTGGGAGAAATGAATACACCTAAAATACTCTAAGAACAAATTTATTAATATGAAATCAAGGGAAAAAAATATATTATTAATCATATAACAAACAGGCTCAACTCCTGGGTTACTGCAGACTCAGTACTTTCTTTACTTATTTTCTTAGTTACTTATTTTCTTATTTCTTTACTCAACAGTAATTACTCAGATCTTACACTCTTACTGCACACAACCTTACTGGTGTTACATTACATAGATAGCAGGACCAGTTCCTTGGCCCTACTCAAAATACATAGTACATGGCACTCCTTATACATTACTGTACTTCTCACACCTACTGGTGGTACGTGGCATTACAGTACAGATACAAGACTTTACTCAACATACACGTTAATACTGAAAATAGCAGATACAGGGGTCCACTACCCAACATGGGATAATTCTTTCCAACTAATTATCCCTAACATACATCTTACAACACTCTCTGTGGACATATACTTCCAGGGTGCGTCCCAGGGTAGAACACTGAGATTCACGACCGTTGTTATGGTCAGTGGTAGCCAGACACATGGCGAGTCTGGGGTCGGCACTATGAGGCAGTGGAACAGATTAATCAGGCCGCATCGATGCCATCGTTTCATATGTGATCCCTGCTGGGTTTCTACTACATCCGGGGCAGTTGTTAAGTGATGCAAGAATCACAAGGGGATCTGGAACAAACGTTGGGGCGGGCGTCAGGGGACGGAAGCATGACAACACATACAGTGAGTTCTGCTATAACGCGTGTTTTGATAACGCGAATTTGCTCTAACGCGATTTATGAATTAGGAACGATATTTGTATAACGCGAATGCTTGTTTGCTATAACGCGATTTTTGCTTACTATTTCTCCAATTTTGTGGTACTGTATTAACTGTGAATATAGTAAAGAAGAATATCAACAAGAAGCGTTCTGGTGATAGAATTCCCGGTGATGATCGTAAAAGAAAGGATATAACACTTGAAGAGAAGCTCGATTTTATCAACCTCAAAATCACCCTTCTCCCCCATCAAGTAAAGTGTTACATTTACTGTATGATTTCATTATTAGATATGAATGTAACATTTATTTAGACCGTGCTATCCTTTGTCTTAGGCTAACTACTAAATTTTTTCGATTTCGAGTAATCTGCACCTAACCCTATTTTCTCCATAAGCCCTGTTATTTCTATTACGCGATTTTCTATAACACGATATTTTACAAGAACACAATTATCGCGTTATAGCAGAACTACCTGTACACAACAAATCTCGGTCAAGACAACAGACGTATTAAGTTATATTACTTCTTACACTGGGTGAATGACAACTCAACTGTTAAAGCATGAACACTGATGAACACTGATATTCACTACAATTGACTGAATTAAACTGAATGGCTACACATAAACATACCTGGAACAAACGTTGGGGCGGCGTCAGGGGACGGTCGTCCTGCGCGATGCGAGGGTATATATATATCCCTGAGTTGCCAGTGATCGCTACTCACGCAATGACAATAATTACAAACAACTCTAACTGTTACTCATTCAAAGAGGACCCTCAGTTGACAAAGGTCTGGCGAATTACTTGAGTTGATTTACACAGACTAATTCAAGATTGAGCTTCCCAGGAGAAGTGGAATAAACGGCACATTGATAACTGTCTTCACAAAGGCGGGACTCTGGGAGGGAAACACAAGTGTAGCGTCTATGGGGAAAAACACGTCTTCTCAGGGGTCTCTAACCCACTCATGTTTTGCGGTCGTGGAGCTTAATAAGAATCATTAGTTCAATAGACTAGCAGTCAATGTGACCACTCCCCCAATGGATCCTTCAACCTCTTACTAGTTCACAATGAGAGATTAACCTTATAAAATGTCACTGAATTCACTTTGGAGAATATAATTTGCATTGCTGGAATTCTTTTTGAGAACATAAGAAAATAAGGAGTCTGCAATAGGCTGGTTGGCTTGTGCATGGCAGCTCCTGTCAAGAGTTACTACCACTCTCTATCATCCATGAATCTATCTAGCCTCCTTTTAAAACTTTCCAGTGTTCCAGCACTAACTACAAAGTTGCTAAGCTTGTTCCACTCGTCTACCACCCTATTTGTGAACCAGTTCCTTCCTATTTCCCTCCTAAACCTAAACTTATCAAACTTAAATCCTTTGCTTCGAGTCCTATCCTTTCACCCACTTAAATACTTCTATCATATCTCCCCCACACTCTTTGTCTTTCTAGGGAATGCAAGTTTAGTCTCGGAATCATTT